CTAGGTGGCCGAGAATGTCAGATAGAAGTATACTGCCGAGCAGCCAGCGCAAAGGGCGAGAGGATCAGCAGGGAATGACCACGCTGGCAGTTGAAACCTTGCATGCACTTTCTGTAGATGGACGAAATGCCCCGTAGGCCTAGGGTGTCTATGTTTGTTTCTTTTCTGTCTCGCCGGTGTCTCTACACGTGCAGCAGGCGCAAGTCCCCTGTCTCTCTGCTGCTTGACAAGGCCCCCTCTGTCCCCCACACAAAGCAGCTTAACTTCACTGGCTTACTCTGTGTTCGCAGCGACAGCATCCTCTTCGAAGGCTTCAAGTATGAGTGCGTCCAAGTCAATGGGGGGCTCAGCTTTGACTGCGTTGCTGCGGCCTCTCACGGGGCCCCGTGCACAGCGGAGCCGCTTGGCCGCGCGCTCCCAGGCGTCTCTCCCCCCGCACACGCACACACGTTTCCCCCCCTGGGGATCGTGGTTGGTTGACTCCTGGGCTTCACTCCTACCCCCTGAGGAGTTGCTGCAGCTGCTCCCTATACAGTCGCATGCACTGCTCGGCCTACTACCGTCCTCGGCGGGCCAGCCAGTCGGCTGCTGCATCGGCGGCGGGTTGCTTTCTCCCTCTGCAGCTGTCAGCCGGCAGCAGTCAGCTCCTGCTGCGCTGCAGTATTCTCCCTTATGCTCATCTTCATGTGTATGTGCATGCGCATGCGCATGTGCATGCGCATGCACCTCGGGGGCATCTACAGCCCCATCGACAGCCATCTGCTGGGACTCCCGCTCCTTCGTACCTCCCCTGGGGAGTTCAGAGGGCCCCAGCTCACCTGGCTCGACTTCATCTTCTTTAACTGGGAGGAGCAGCTTGCTCGGAGGCTGCAGGGTTTGCCTGTCTCCTTGCAGAGGCCTGGGCTGCTGCTGTTGACTCTGTCGAGGGGGACACACCACGTCGCCTGTCTCCTCCCAGCAGATATTCCACTGCCTGCGGCGGCTGTAGTGCTTCGGCCGCAGCCTGGCGAAGGTCTTGGCCAGACAGCACAGCACTTCAAATAAAAACCAACACACTTCAGAGTCTCGCGATAACAAGTTCAGACACTTCTGCAGCAAAAATCCCTGCCCCTGAGCCAACATCTCCCCCTATAGCAAACACAGCAGCAGCAGCAACAGCAGCAGCAACCGCAGCAGCAACAGCAGCAGCAGCCATACATCTCCCTAATATTTCTTAAGGGGCCGCTACAGCGTGTCAAGCCTCAATAGCGGTTACCGCCTAGGGAGCGACTGTGCATGCGAGTGAAGAAGCAGCATCAGCGAGGGGAGACAGCACGCGGCCTCCAGGTGTATCTGGTGTAAGCCCGTGAGAGAGAGAGCTGCCTGATAGTATTCTGCTGCGCATGCATGCAAACGCTGTACAGCCCCACACACCTCCTCTACGAGCTCGGCGATGTCGTGGTTTTCAGCGCGGCAGTGCCAGAAGTGCTGCTGCTCTCCGTGCGGTGCGAGGGGCCCCTTAACATACGGGAGCCCGCATTGCCTGCAGCATGTACATACACCTGAAGGGGCCCTGCGTCATAGAATAAACGAAATAAAATATATATAAAATATATAAAAAACAACTGATGCAGAGAACCCACCCGCATCTGCTTGTGTGCCGCTCCAGCAGCTCCATCTTCATCAGGAAACGCCGCGCCTTGCACAGCTCTTCGTGTCGCTGAAAGTCTCCTCCTGCACAGCACGGTCAAACCCCAGCTAAACCCTAAACCCTAAACCCTAAACCCTAGCCCCTAACCCCTGCCACCTGTCATGCGTTCTATCTCGAGCCTGAGATAACAAGCGACGAGATGATGCAACCCAGCCTAGCTGTCTCTGATGGGTCTCTTCCGCTCTCAGCCCCAAAGGGCTCTGAATATGCGTGCCGCCGTATCACCAGCTTAGCCGCACCAGTTGCATGCACTGGGAGGCCCGGGATCCCTAGGAGCTCCGTGACCTTTGCGTAGGGACAGTCGTCGCTGCTGCAACGTGAACAACACCAGAAAGCAAACAACAACTCCATGCAGCGTAGCTAAACAGACACAAACAGACTCATATTCCTGTACACACTGAATACATATATACATATATATATATATATATATATATATATATATATATATATATATATATATATATATAT